AATAGCATTCGGCTATATCAATTCGATGAGGAGAATAAGGATTTGTAAAATGCTGTGCAATACGATTGTTCTTGCGACATTATTGCAAATTTGCGTGAATTATACTCCCCACCATTATATGACCTGAGTGTAAATCCGTGGGACCACGTATTATTAAAAAGTTGTAGTTTTGCTAACGAATCGGCTTTAGAAGTCATTCAATTTACCGTTGCATATCTTGAAAAATCATCAAAAAAAGATATTGCATATTTGTTTCCATGCAAAGATTCCGGAAAAGGTCCGCAAAGGTCACTCTGAACTAATTCAAATTTTTGCGTTGCCCTTTTTTGAGGGTTTTCAGAAATGTCAGACGTAGATATTTTACATTTTGAACATGTAGTACATTTATCGGTTGCCAATGAACCGGAAAAAACCATGCCTTTTATTAGTGCTTCATTTGCACTTTTCTTCAAAGTTTCACAATTTAAATGTGAAAACTTTGCATGCAACGTAGAAATAGACAATGCCGACGTATTCAATTCTTTTGCACTATGTTTAAACCAGAAAAAATCATCCCTTTTAATCAAATAAGCTTTCTGTATATGCGAATTTTCGTTAAAATTGCTGCATTCCCTTGCTTAACTATCTCAGTGAGCAGTGAAACAGATATCAAACAGAAATATAAAACAGAAATTGAAGCTCGGCACATACAAAGCGCGCTAGAGGTTATAAGTACTTAGCTTTTTTACGATGATAGAAGCGGTCAAATTTCTCTAACAACATGTACTCGATGGTGCGTCCCGTCCCCATTAGTAATAAACAACATACTATCGTCCCCTTCAATTTTAGAAAGCGTCTTGAACATTGATTTGTCTGGAGTGATATTGATCGCGCATCCAGAGTCTATCACAATATCCATCGACCTATTTGAAGTGCAGTAAGTGCAAACCCAGAGAAACCGCGTTGCTGGTTGCTCGAATTTTGCTGGTTTCCATGCTTGCATAGCACCAGTCAGCAGTGTGATTATTGTTACGTCCGCACTTCGTACAATTTATCTGTCCAGTTCCTCCATTGTATCGTCCTCGGCCGGATCTATAAATAGCTGGAGCCGCAATTGACGTAGAACTCGTATCTTGTTTGTTTGAGCTCCTCGTGTGATCGTTCAACCAGTCGCTCCTTCAGTTGTAGGTACGATATCTGCTGGAACTGTATTGCAGCTATGAATCAGTCGTATTCTCGTGGAAATGTTCTAAAAACTATGGCTATTTTCAGCTGGTCGCTGATCTTTTCCTTTGCATATTGTAGTTTGAACACAATGTTGTCACTTTGTTAAGAAATTCTATCATCGACTCACCGTTCTTCTTGAGTTTCGAAAACTCTTGCCAAAGCACTTTGATTTAGCTTATTCGAATCTGCCATAAAATTTTTCCGCGAGTATTTCCATATTTCAAATCCATTCCTGTTAATCTGAGCGATGATCATCTGCAAAGTAGCATCAATGACGTGCATAAAGGTTTCTTATACAACATCCTCTCATCAGCATCTCTGTTCACTTCGCTAACTCTTTCAGATTCTACATTCACAATTTTAGCTGCATTATAGGCTAGAAATTGTTCACACCATACATGATTACTTTCGTGTTTTTCATTGAAAAAGAGTAGTTCTTTTTGTTCGGAATCCATCAAGATTTTGGTGCGTGGAAGCTTCAATTGCCCATAACCTTTAATCATGGTAGGTCTTGATGTTTAAAGATAAAAAAAGTTCTAATCTTTTGTAAAGTGGTTTAAGTCAAAATCAACACTCTTTGTTTAACCGCGTTATTCTTGATGTCAATGTAAAAAGTTGAAACTCATACGTCAATATTATTATTTTTTCTTTTCTCGAATATAGCGTTACAATTTCGTTTTGAGTCTTTTGGATCCAATCATTCATCTCCTGAAATTGACTAATCACAGACGAGTAATTCAACAGAGTGCCTAACGACCGCGTTTTCCCTTGTGGCAAAACATTTCGATAGTTTTTGGGCGGTTTTCCTGAAATTTTTTTTGTTTTTTTTTGTCAGAAAATCAAAAGAAAGCGTTTTTAAACAAGCATAAATTATGGGCTGTTTTGTACCAAAAAAAATTCAATGGTATTTTTTATTTTTTGCCCAAACCCCTCCCCCGAAGGTCAAGTTCTCCCAGACTAGTTTTGAAAAAAGCATAAAAATTTTGAGCAGCAATCGTCACAAAATAAAACACGAAGAACCACATATCTTGTGACATTTTAATTTTGAAGAAGAATTGAAACCTCTTATGAAAATAGTCGGAGGCCTGTTGCCAATCAAACTAAACTGTTATCATTAGAAGCAATACATACTAGGAAAGAAGTGCCGGTTTTAAACGCGCAATTGTTTTAGAAGCAGTTTGTTGACACTGAAAACGTAGTCCTAAAAGATTTTACTTTTTTATTCAAGAACGTACAATTGACAACCGAAATGATGATTGAGAAACTTCCACCCAAGTAATTAAGAATGTTGGAAAAAAATTTAGATGTTGAATGAACATTTTATATAATGCAAAATTTTAAACATTAACTGAAATTGGCTTAAAATTTAAAAGAAAGTTTCGAATTAAAATTTATCTGAATTAATGTAGACATCATGTTAAATTGTTGTTCCACGGTAATCTGGAATACAGTATTGTTAATTCCTGACAACGCACATAGTTGCAAAATTGCTTTTAAAATCGCTTTTTTCTGAGAAAAATCCTCGCAAATAACTGCTTTTTTATTACGGGCTAGGGCTACCTAATACACAATATTTGGTTTGGAGAACGAGAAAAGAACAATCAATTACGCATCAAAATTTAGGTTTTGTTCGAAGTACGAAGTGCATAAAATTTGACGAAGCTCTTTTTTGATAACGAAACTTCTCAAAATTTTTTTGAAACAAGAACCTACTGATATGTAAAACGTTCTATGTTTACCAAAATGTTTTTTGAGTTGCAATGGTTGAATGCCATTACCTAAAATATATGGTTATGAAAATTGAATTTTTAATGAACTTCGCATAGCCTGAAGAATGTGAAAAAAAATAAATGCGTCCAGTGGATTGTAGCGACAGTTGACTTCCAATTCTCTAGCAGAAAAGAGAATGGTTGGGGAACGGAGGTTCGCCAAATAGACAAATCTACAGATTTCAATAATGATGGATATCTTTTTTAATCAATTGCCTTTGAAATTTGAGGTTCGGTTGGCCCTAAATCTGACTGTTTTTATATCAAGCTTTTAAGCAAATTGAGCATAAGTACAGATGAACACAGGGCGTGTAGTTTTGTCAAGCAGAGAATCCCCCTCGCATTACGCGTTTAATTGCCACAAATACTGATGAAATTTATTTCATAAATTTTTGTTTGTAGTGCCAAGAGAACGTAAACGCAGCCTAGCTCAAGTATCTGATAGATCTCTAGCCTCATAAAGTCAATCTTTTTGTTTTTTTTTCATACCGGTTTATTCTGTGCTGGTGTTATTTTCCCAATCGGGATCTCTTGATTCCACAGCCATCTGACTTTACTTTCCTGAAAGTTCTAGTTAACTGCTCCCGAATTTATGAAGTTCGAGTAGTTTTTTGACTGGGGGAAACGATGAAGTAATAGTGTAGTATTTTTGATAAACATGCTAATTTTTGAAACTTTAATTTAGCTTTTAAAAATTGAAAAACGAGAATTTTGAATGCGACTCACCAAAAATTGTGGTATCATATTTCTAAACCAGTACCCAGCCCAGAATCTCCTTTCAGTGTGCATGTCACTGTCACAGATCCGAATACCCGTATAGCCGAAAAATAAATTCGTTCTCGGATAGCCGAAGAAATCGTAGTTTCGAATAGCCGAAAAATAAAAGCGTTTCCGGATAGCTTATTTTTTTCTGTTTTCGATAGCCAAAAAAATTCAATTCGATCCACACCAAAAATTAATCGCTATAAATTTAATATGTTGCGTCCTTTGAAATAAAAAAGGCTTTTTCCCTTTATAGACCCTGCCCTCCCCCTATCCCAAGTAGTTTATAGACCCTCAGAATGGAAGAAATATATGATGGGGAAGGGATTGCTTTAAAAAGTTGAAAAGTGTATCGAGCTTTTTTCTGGATCGGCTCGTTTGAAGCTATCCCGAAACGCTATAGAGATCTTATTTTTGAAAACATTTTGCGACGGTAAATATTTTGAAAAATAATTAGCAAAAAAATGAGGTCTTAAAGACTTATTAGGTGTCTGCTCTCCGCGTCCATCTCAAGATATTTATTTAATTTTGCTCTTAAATGTTCATTTACTGGGTAGCGTTATCAAAGTAGTCGCACTTTGATCGTTTTTTTAAATCCATGAAATCAAAGCTATTACGCATAGCAAATTTTTTGAGTCCTTTTGATTTTTGGTTAGCTAAGTTCCGAAAAAAACAAGATAGATTAATCGTTCGAATTGAAATGGTACAAATTTTGTGACAAATTTGATTTTAGTCAACTTTGTTTCGCTTCTAATTGGTTTAACAAGAATCTTTTAGTTTTTCGGTTATCCGGGAATGCGGCTCTCTGGGTACTCTTCCCCATTTTTTGCCATATTCGGCTTAAAAGTTTCGCCTTCTGCTATATTGGCTTTGCCCTCGTCGTCTTTGCCTCGTCTTGAAAAGTTTTTTTTTGCGTGTTTGGGCCCCTAATTATGGGGATTCTCTTCGATTTTCAAAGTGTTCGTAGCTCGTTTTTTTCAAGAAATTATTTTTTGGGCTCAAAGGTTTCTGCTAAAATTTTTTCGGCTTAGGTTACCCTGACAATGGTCCTACTTGGCATATTTGCCGTAAATTGAACATCGTTCAAGACAAGTCGAGACACGTATTAAAGTTCTGTTAGATCTAGTTTTTTGCGACTTTTTTGTTTTTATTTACCTGCTTTGTCTCTTTTCCTGTCGGCTAGCGTGGATTGCTATATTTGTGTTTTTACGCAAGTAGGGTGAAATTCCGCTTCTACTCTGTGATTAAAATATTGTTTTTTAGGGTTGTCTCTCATTGACTTTGGATGCGATGCCTGTCAATCTCCTGCAAGAGCATATCTTATTGATTCTGTTCCACCTGAACAACATCAAAAAGCTTTCTCGGTCATGGGTATTTGCTGTGGTGTGGGTGGATCCATTGGCTATCTTTTGGGCTCCATAAACTTCCGCGATACTGCATTCGCAAAGTTAGTGGGACATGATTTACTTTAAATTATCATTGACGCATTTTTCATTTTTCAATTTTGATTTTAGGATACTTGGAGGTCAAGAGCAAGCTGTGTTTTTTATAGCTGCTACACTTTTTGCAATCATGGTTGTTATCACCATAAATCAAGTAGAAGAGAAGCCTCCAGCTGATAATGCTGAAGGCGGTGGAGATCCGGCATCCTTACATCACTATCTGATGTCAATAGTGTATATGCCGCGAAGATTGCGATGGCTCTGTTTGCATATGATGCTGTCATGGCTGTCTGTTCTTTGTTTCTCACTGTTCTTCACGGACTTCGTTGGACAGGTACTGTGTTCTATCGTTTTCTTGTATCCAAAGAATACAAACGATCATAAAAGAAGTCGATGTGCCTCTAACTTGATCGTTAAAAAAAGTTTCTTTAAAGACTTTCTGACTGTTTAGGTGGTATATAAGGGCGATCCTTATGCAAGTGTTGCGGCCGACTCATTCAAGAATTACAATAACGGAGTTTTGTTTGGAGCTCGAGGACTGACTGCCATGACAGTTCTGTTCTCCATCTTTTCAATCTTCCTCAATCAGCTCTTGAACAAGATCGGTTAGCATTAGAAACACCGCTAATACCGAGATATTTTGTTTACAGATTCAATACCGCAATTAGCGAGGTTTAGACTTTTTAAATCCTAGATATTAGATTAGTTGAAAATATATATGAAACTGAAAAAATATATAATAATTCAACAGCAGATGATTGATCGTTAAGTTTTGTTTCACTTAACAATGATTACCCTTGCGATTAGCACAAGGGTAATGCAACCGGTTGCCAGACTTTCCCGTTACAAACTTTGTTCACAGAACTCATTAGTTCAATTTATTCAACATATCACTAGTCTGCTACTAATTTTGCTAGTTTAGCGTAGAGATGAAGCACATGCTTGGTTGAACAAACGTCTCGTGTTAGGGTCCGGCCAGGAGCCTTAGTTTTTGGAAATTGAATATTAATTTTTTTTAACGGGCCATCGTTTGTAGTAGTAGAACATTTAAACAAATTTTTTTATATCAGTTAACATAGCAAGTAGTGCGAAGCTCCGCTTCGTCTCTATGTTCAAACGGTACCTTAAATTGATTGAGTCAATGAACGTTGCAGTGAAGTTGTGTTGCAGGTTGCCGCATCATAGTCTGCTGCATCTGTCTATTCTTCTCGGTTTCTTTCCTGCTGATTCTGCTTGTACCCTGCAAAGTAGTCGCATTTCTTCTCGCGGCATGTGCAGGACTCATGCTCACCTGCGTCTTTGTCACTCCCTTTCTCCTGATAGCTCGTTACCACGACAACAGGTTCCAGGCGAAAGATGAAAACGCATATGGGCTAGAGAGAGGTTTGGGGACGGACATAGCAGTGGCGCAGAGCATGGTGTTTGCGGCTCAGTTCACCATCTCGCTCAGCAAGGGACCCATCCAGCAAATTTTCGGCAACTACCAAGGCACTTGCATGATACTTGGATCTATATATTGTCTCCTAGCTGCCGCAGTCTCTCTCAGAATTGACTATGCTGATTTGTAGACTGATCTGTTTTCTACGGAGTCAATCAAATTCTAATCTAATAGATTTGTATAACCAATTTTGCTTATATGTGTGTGTAAATCTATCAATGTTTCGATGTCAATTAAAAGTTTTTAAAATGTTGTTAAAAATAATTCTGGGTTTGGTCAAATATCTTTAATTTGAACCTAAATGCTTCTGTTCACTTTTATGCCGCTTTTTTCAGTTGAAAACCTTTCTAGGTAAACATGTAATAATCGATAGCTATGCTATAAAATGTCGATAGCGTCTACTTTGAAGCCGGAACTAGCGGAGGCTCTTCAGGCGCTGTTCAAGAAGCTCGACCCCAAAGAAAGTGGATCGATCCGACTATCGAAGTTGAAAGAGAACTGGAACGGAAGCAATGACTCACAAACAGCCAATCATTTAGACACCAGTCGAGTTATAGAATCGGTTGAAAAGTTCGCAGTTAATGGAAGTCTTAGTTATGAAAGGCTTTGTTGTGGCATTAAACTGTCGCTCATTGATGACTATAGCTCAGCGCGAGACTCCGATGACGATACTAGCTCAAAGGTCTTTGAAAACACAAGAACGACAAATGGGAGCAATCGAGAAGTTATCAGTAAACGTGACAATAAATCGAATCACAAAGTGGAATGTGAAAAGAGTTTTAAGTCATCAGATCGAAGTCATCGAGAGGATGAAGGTAAAACAAATGATCTCAAACTTCCGAATGAGCGAAAGGTAGAGACTCCGAAAGGTGAAAATGGATCCGCCGGCGAAGGAAGTCGTGACCTGTTCTCAGTGGCTTCGAAGTACAATATCAATTTCACACCAAGGTGCAATTCCATGCAATGTAAGTATTTTTTTCCTTTTTGACTTATAATTAAGAAGACCTATTTTTCCCCGAATCTTTTTTCTCGTTTCGTCCAACAACCTATTTTTTTACCAGCCCCAATGCACGATTATGAAATGTAATTGTAGATATTCAGTAAAAAGAAATACATTTTCCCGGTTTTCCACGAAAGATGTGTTTTTTTTTCAGCATGCTACTCGAACGTTTTTCATCACTGTAGCAACAAACGCCTTTTTTATACGAGGGTGACCGAGTGTGGTAAGGCACAGGTCTCAACACGAGGGTCGTGCGTTCGAGTCCCACCTCGGTCACGGTTGGACGGGTCTCAGTGTCCTCAAGGTTACGGCAAAATGAATGACATCCCCTCCCCTCCCCCACGGTTGTTTCTGCATTGAGCAGGACCGAGGGCTATAAAAAACAAGCGCCTTTCAGCTAATTCACTCGCCGGTGTATAAGCAATTGAATGACTGTGTTCTAGAACATATGCAATAAACAGGTGCATTGTTATATAAGTAGTTATTTTGCTGTTCGGATCGTTAGTTGTTTCTGTTCGCTTAGATGAATCGGGATATTCGACTGTGGTAACCACAACACCTTCCGACTTAACAAGCACACCCTTGAACAAGCCGAAAACTTCAACTAGCGAAGCGAACACACAAGTCAGTCACAATTCTGAGAAGCTGGACGATACCTCAGAAAACTTAAAATTAGACCTGGCTAGCTTAAACTTAAATGACTCGAAATTATCGACCAAAACTGAGCAGAAGTCAAAAGCAAGTTTTGTGTACGAGGATTTGAAGTTTTCATCGAGACAAAATGGAAAGAAGGAAACGGAGGTTAGTCTCTATTCTGTAAGTGACAAGAGTCTTCTGTCACAGAGTATGTTGGATACCTTTGGATACCATCCTCCGCCTGAAATTTCTCCTGTCGAGATCAGACTGCCTTCGTATGCTTTGCCGAGTACGTTGTCTACTGCTATTAGTGGCTTCGATAGTGAACACCAAAATGTGAAAAAAAGAAAACCATTTTCTGGGTCTAATTCAGAAGCCCTTAATGGCAGTACAAATGGATCTAAATCTCGAAGTGAACTCAACTTCTCAAAGACGGAAGAAAGTTCGCTGTTGAGAGTTTATGAAACTGAAAGCATAGAAAAATCTAAAAGTTATTCAGATAATCGTTCAGAGAACAGAAGTTACCGCGACAATGGAAATGGCGATAGCTCCATGACTCAGTTCAGGCAAAACAAGTCTTCTAAAGAAATGGACAGCGGAAATTTACATTCAGATAAGTCGTATTTCGACCGACCAAAGTCAGCTTTATCGCAAGCATCTACGTACAGCGTTTTTTCTGTTTCAAAATCTCCGATTCCGCCCTTAACTAGAGGAGCCTACTATGAAATTGACGACAATTACGAGGAAGAAAACTTTTCAGCTCACGCTGAAAAAGACAAAGTTGAGTCTGTTGAAAACGGGGTACGAAATGATTATAATTCTGAGTATACTTCGAAAAATTATGGTTTCAACTGCGAAACTAGTAATGTGTATGAGTCGCCTTCGAAGTCAATGGGAGATTCTCTGTACAGGACAGTTCCGGTTTTTGAGTCTACGGGATTGAGTTGGTCTCCGAAACCAAGTAGTGTTGATGTGAGTAGGAGTTCGGGGAAAGTGAGAAATGGAAAACATGAAGTGTCTTTCTGTGATGAGAAATCGAGTTCGACAGCAAAAGCGCAAATTAATGGGTGCAGTTTTAGCCAATCGTCGAAAGGTAAGTCGAAAAGACTTGAATATTAGCATAATAGATAATTAATGGATAGAAGTTAGATGACTTTTCTCCGATTTGGCTCTCGATTAGCTTCCTTATAAAACCATGCCAATTGTATTGATCATTACTTACTCAAAATCTTGAGAGGATAGTTTTTAAAGTTAGGTTTTAACTGTGAAGAAAACTGAAGCCCTAGATTGCATCTGTCAAATTGTGCGGTATTATATCTAAATCGTATTTAGGTCATGATCAAACTGAATTCTCTACATCTTCAAGTGGATATGGTATGAGTGAGGCCGCCAGAATGAAGACAAACCAATCCACGAGTCCGCTACCCAGATCTGGAGTGCTCGCTTCATCCAGCAGTGTTGCAGATAATGCAGTAAGATTATAGAAAAGCAAAGCAATTTAGTTCTTTATTACCCTTAAGATAAGCAAGGTATTGCAATCGGGTACTAGACTTTTTTCCCTTAAATATCTTTGTTCACAACTCGTATCCATCTCCTGCACTCATTCATCTACTGGGCCTTTCTGTTGCAACAGACATATTTTGAGCATGTTAGCATTTTTAGTATATGGCTTAATCGAAATTTGCTTTTATGTTGATTGTAATTTTACCAAATCGATTTGTTTACGCTAGCGAGCAGCTAGTGTTTTAGTAAGAACCTTAAAGTGAACCCTAAAAGTCTTCATTAAAAGTTTTCACTTGTGTGCCTTTTTGCTATAATCACGATCTGTAGTAGCATTGGAAATTTCATAGCATCTGTGCTCGGCCTTATTTGTGGCTGGTATTTGTGATGGACTAAGCGTCTGTGGCTGAGTGGTTAGTGCTTGCGACTCATAATTTCCTGGTCGCAGCAGGTCGTAGGTTCGAGTCCGTTACTTAGCCGAATTTTTACTAACTGGAGACTTAATTTTACTTTTTCTTATTGCTTTTTTGTGCTCTAGAGCTGATTTTTGTGTTCTCGCTGGTGGTTGCGAAGCGCAGCTTTGCCTCTGTAAATTTTCATTTAAAAAACTTTTTAAGTTCGGCTTATTTTATATAGACTTGATTGGCCTCTCATTGCGAAAAGTTTGTGTGCGTGTGTGTGTTCTTCGGGGAAGAGGGACTTGAAATTTTTCAAGAGTCGATGCACGTAGTTCAGACTCTTATACAGGTCGCGATGTTTTTATTTCGTTTTTTATTGTTTTCAGGAAAAGTCTTAGTCTGTTCAGGCCTAAATTTAATTTTTTTGCGCTTTGAATTTTGATTTAAGTTCATTTCATTGTTTTTGTTAAAAGGAAGGCAAACTCCTTTATCGAAGAGTCACGAAAAACATGATCGATTTCTAGTTTCGAAAGTGAAAGTTAATTTTCAGATTTCCCAGCCAAATAAAAACTTCATTTATTGGTCCATAAATTGTCCTAGAAATTCAAAGAGCTTTAAGGGTATCAGTTTTTCTTAAAAAATCGAAAGCTAGGTCAGTATTTTTTTTACTTGCGTTAATTGAACTTACTGTGGGTCTTGTTTTTTTTTAGTCTGGGGTTTTTATTTTTTTTGGTATGATTTCTCAGGTTTTTTCAATTTTGTTACCGCTTGGTAATTATAATTTCAAATTCAATCAACCATGCGGCACATTTGTCGTAGATGTAGCACAACTGCTTGAGACGGCAAAGGCTTGTATTTCGAATCCGAACTCTACCTGTGTTTTGTATCGTCCGTATCTTCAATTTTGTCGGCTTAGCTCCCGTAATCCGGCTTTTTTGAGGACAAAGACTGGGAGTTCGATTCCAGTCGAGACCTGTTTTTTTGTGCAAACTGAAAATTTTCGGCTAGTTTTGATTATGGTCTGCTTATTTTTGTTGGCTCCGTTCCGCAGAAAGGACTTTTTGAAATTTTGGCTTCTTTCTACATTCTGAAAGCTTGTAAAGTTTCTAATGGTGCACGTAATTTTGTTCCGGATACTTTTTGTTTTTGTTGCAATTTTTATTGACAAAAACGATTTTTTTAAGGTTTTTTCAATTTTTGTTTTTCTTTTTTTTTAATTGTAATCACTGGCATTCATTTTTGTATCGCAAGTGGTGCGCAGCTCATCTTCGCCTCTGTGTATATAAATGTTCTCTATTTAACATACGGCATATACGTATTTTTGGAACAGTATTAATTTCCCCGCCCTCGAAAGAGCAAAAGTAATGGAATACCGTGAGTCTTGAATTGAAATTCTTTGGGTGAAGTTCGGAGGTTCTAGTCTTTTAATCATTATTATTCCACAAACATTATAGATTGAAGTTGACCTGATTGAAATTTGAAAGGCAATTGACTGAAACCTTGCTTTTGATAATTTTTGGTTTCTGGAAGTATGGTATCCACTCAAAGCCATAAATATTCTACCTGGGTATATTTTGAGCAAAAACATTTCGATTTAGATTGATTTGGTTAGCTTACAAAAACCAGGTCAAATTCATTTCAATTTGATTTTTTTTTCATTTTTAGGAGAAGATGGACAAAATGTTGGACCAGGCACTGCGTGCAGTGAACGAGAGCTACAGACTCATTCGCATTGGGAAGAAACAATTGAGGAACAACTCGAACTCTTCCTCAGAAGGGGGAGGGGGAGGGGGAGGTATGGAAAGTGGGTCCCATTCGCCGCTCCCGGGGGGAAGTGAGAAGTATCTGAGGTTGATGAACTGTGTGTTGGATCTGCATAAGTCTCTGTTGGATCTGATCGACACACATGATGACTCAACGCCTGCGGATTTGGCCGATGGAGAAGTAAGTTGTGATGATATTGCAATTGATCGATTGGATTTGAAGTAACTGAGTTAGCTGAGAAGTTGGCAGTTCAGACATAGAAAATAGATATATTTAGAATTTAGGTACATTTCTTACTAGTAAAAGTTAACATGTTAACCCAAATTGTTTGAAAATTACTTGGATGAGTTTTTTTCATAACATATCATAGTTAACTCGACATACTTGATGAGATGCTTGACTAAAATATTCAATTAGTTGTGGTTAGTGTTCTATTAATTGCGACTAGTCAATGAATTTCTACCAATAAATTAAAAAGAGTCCTAGTTTAGTTATTGAATAGTTAAAGGAAAAACTGACATTTCTTTTCTGAATACTAAACCCTCTGTTTGCTGATATTGGCATTAACATATATTAGTAACCGAGTCTGTTTGGATACTATTCTGTCTGCTTTCTATTGCTAACAGGACTCCTGCAGTCAATGTGGAGTATGTGCTACGTGTCAACACAACCTACAGACGTTCCATCTGGCTGCAGATCAGCTTAGCCGAAGTCAATCTCTCCAGCAGAGAAATGGCTCAAGTTATTCGGAGTCAAGAGGCCGCCAGACAGATTCGAATGTAGACTACTGCGAAGTTTCTGAAAGGAGTTTCTACCAAAAAAATGAAAATAGTCACAGTAAAAAGGTATTTTAAAAATTGAGGTAGAAATATGAAGATGAAAGAGAAGGAAATTTCTGCTGCCAAAATAACAATTAAAAGTGCTTGTTTGTCGAAAAATTATTACTTTACAACTTTTGAACCGACTAACGTTTTGGTTCCGGCCACTCGTTATAAAGCGGTCAGGAATTGTGGTTTCGATGGTGGTTTATTTATTTCGTATTTGTTTGATGGCTTGAAAAGAAACTTCCTGTGGATTTGAGTCAAATAGCATATGAAAGCCCTGTCACCTGAATCTCCTCGGATTCGACGAAGTTTACGCGATGTCGACAAAAAATGGCTAAATTTCCTCTGTCATTCTCATTTTTAGATGTTCTGATTTTAATTTAAAACTGATCACGAGATCGGCAAATTGAGGTCTGTTTTATGGTTGCTTGAATAAGTAATGTAATGAAAAACTTCTCAAGAGTTTACTTGAAATCCCGGAAAAAATGAAAATTATAGCGTCTTATCAAATTGTTAAGGGTCGATGAACGTAATGAAGAATTTATTAAAAGCTGTGGTGATTTTTTTTCATTTGTGGTGAAATTTGTTCCATTTAATTTTTTTTGGGATTTGACTTTTGATTTCTTTTCAAGTTCAGTTCATTTCCTTTGTTGAAATAAAAAGTTTTCCCTTAATAAACAGTAAAAGTGTAAATGTCACGAAAAATGTTGTCGACTTCTAGTTTGGAAAGTTGTTTTCAGATTTCTTAGCGGAATAAAAGATTTACCTATATATCCAGTTTTCTTAAAATGGGTATAGTTTTATCAAAAAAAGGTCTCAATTATATTGTTCTTGAAATCCATAGTGCTATAAGCCCATATGTTTGTAAGAGTCAATTAACGTTGGTCAGACTTTTATATCAGTCGCTATGATTTTTTTTGCGCTGAAATTTGTTCTGGCTCAAAAATACTTTTTCTTTAGTGAAGTCTGATTTCTAAGTTCAGTTCATTTCCGTTGTAAGAAGGAAGGCAAACTCCAATATCGACTAGCGAAAGTGTAAAGGCCACGAAAAAAGTGATTGACTTCAATTTTGAGAGTGGAACTTAATTAATACACTTGCGAGGTTTAGCGAGCGTATTTTAATAATAGTATTTTTTAAACCGAAGTCGCAAATATTGGTCCTATTTTTGGCAGCATCTTTACGGCTTTTTGATAGCGTGTGCTTGGACTTTAATAAGTAATAAGTTAGCAAAGTTGATGCATTTTTAATTAGACAAATGCACCGAAAGAAGCTATTTGTTTCAAACAACAGTACAATAATTAAAACTTGATTTCAGAAATTTTCTAACTCAATATATCTCGCAATTTGTGAAAATGCATAGTTTTTCATAATTTGGTTTTTTGATTTCCAATTTATTTCATGCAAAGTTAGCGTGGATGCCTCAGTTTGTTTTATTCCAAATTTTTACAGGCAAAATTGAGTCTGTTTGTATTTGGTGCAATTTTTGCTGCATTACGTTGGCAATTTATTAGCATATCTAGTTGATTTATCTGTGGCTAGTGCTGGTTAATTGTAAAGGACCCGTGGCGCAGATGCAAGGACAGGAGACTCTAAATCTCCAGGTTGTAAGATAGAAACCTCCTCAGCAAAAGTTCTAATTTTCAAGGCTTATTTCTAACTTTTCTTTACATTGCTTTTTTCACATTTCACAGCTGCTTTTGTCGTTTTCTCGATAGTTTTTGCAAAGCGCAGCGTCGCATCTCTGCTAAATTTCCCAGGGAAATAAAATTTTTACATTCTGATCCAGTTTTCTCAAATTAGTTGAATTTTATCAAAAAAGTCAATCTTGAATTTTTCTAGATTTTCAAAGATCTTCAAGGAAAATCTTTTTTTTTCATCTTATTTTCTCGGAAAATCAAAATTTGAGATTTTTCCAAAACTACAAGTCAGTATTTTGTTTCTGTTTACTCGCGTTCGTTGACTCTGCTCCAATTGGCTATGTTTTGAAGTTCGTTACTTCGGAAGTTCGTTAATTCAGTATTTTTTGTTTACTTGCGTTCATTGACTCTTTTTGAACTGTTTTTTGGCTGTTTATAATTTATTTTTTACACTCCTGACCCAAACTTCTCAGTTCAAATATTTTGTAACTGCTAACTAAAACAGCAGATGCGGTATCATTTATTGAGTGGTCTTTTCTGAAACTTCAATTCTATGTTTTTTTCAGACATCAACGGATCTCAACATGAGCAAAGCCACAAGTCGGTCATCACTCAGAGCAAATGACGTCACTCAATGAGTCATCCTTTTTCTCGTCAGAGCAGAACGGAAACTTTGGATTATTCCGAAAAATACCAAATTTATCAAAAATGACTAAATTGATTCTATTCTTGCCTTAAGATTGTCTGCATTTGTTGATAATGTTGTTTTGTGTTCAGTAGTTTAACTAACAAATCAAGTAGTTCAAATTTTCTTTGTACTAACTAACTATTATATTTCCAAGACTTGTGAATAAGTTTGTAAAATTGTAAATAGTTGTCTTTGAGCAATTGAATTTCTCTGCATTCTTTTTTATAAGCCTCGAGAACTTGATGAAAGGATATCAGTGCGTCGAATTTTTTTAACGTCGCAAGTTTTTTTGGCTTCATCAGTTTTACCAGAATGCTCAAAATTTACCATTTTACTCGGCATGCTCAAAATGTTTGCCGTTGTAATACCTTTATAACTTACAGGAAGGAAACACATAATCGGGTACATTTAAAAAGTGAATCACCTCTTAAGTGCTGTAATCAAATATTTACAGCCAATTTTCTGATTTTGTAAAGGTTGAAATGGCAGTGACGAAATATATCCAAGCAGCAAATTTTCGTCAAGAAGAATTTCTGGTGAGTTTAACGCTCTTCATAACGCTCTGTTATTGTTATTCTTCAAAAGTTCTTTTTTCATGATGAGTGTGTGGTGGATATAAATAAACATTTTTGCGGCAAATTAAGATAATGATATCCGATGGTTTTCACTGAATCACTGCATATGCAATAAAGCCATTGCATATACAGGAAATTAATTAACGAATTGTTTTCAGACACTTGACTGTCTAAAGATGCGATGCCCAACTTGAAATCAGAGTCAGTAAAATCAGTTTTTAAACCTTCTTTAAGCACCCTCTTGACAACTATCTTAAACAAACCAAAACAAAACCTGCAAACAACTTTAAAAAAATAAATCAAATTATATATTTTATTTTTTGATTACTTTTTTTGATAAAAACTGCTGTCAAATGTGTATTGAATTTTAATGTCGAATGTATCTCGCTGCTAGGCTTTTGTTTGAATCCACTCATACCAGAACGAACAACCCATCAACTCATCACAGTTATTAAAAAAAGTAATGTTTTTGCTCTTGGTCGAAACTTTGTGCTACTCACACAGCAACCTGCTTAATCTTGTTTTCACTTAATATTCACTGGATTTTACTGACTCTGATTGTCTGACTTCAAGTTGGGCATCTCATCTTTAGACAGTCAAAGTACCTGAAAAAACTTCGTTAATTAATTTCCTGTATGTCCAATGGTTTTATTGCATATGCAATGGCTAAAATGAGTTTGTCGATCTTGATTGCCTAGTTTTATACTGAACACTTTCAAGTGTCGTCAAATTTTATTTCCGTTTCTGCCTTAAAAAACTCAATTTTTAGAAATGACTACTGTTTAAATTAAAAATCTCAAATAAAAGTTTTAAGTGAAAACAAGATTAGGCAGGTTGCTCTGTGAGTAGCACAAAGTTCCGACCACAAAAAAAATAATATATATATTTTTTACTAATTGTGATGATTTTGTTCGTTCTGGTATGAGTGGATTCAAACGAAAGCCTAGCAGCGAGATACATTATTAATTTAAGACACATTTGACAACAGTTTTTATCAAAAAAATAATCAAAAAATATATAATTTGATTTATTTAATTTTTTTAAAATTGTTTGCAGATTTTTTTTGGTTTGCCTAAGATGGTTGTCAAGAGGGTGCTAAAAGAGGGTTTCAAAATTAATTTTCCTGGAATAAATTTGAGCTTGAACTTTTATTTCCGTATTATTGGAGTGCGCGCTTGCTTCATTCGCTCGAAATTAGACCAACAATCAAAACATATAAAAGGAGTTTTCTATCTTAAGAGAGTTTTAAAGAGTTCGAATCACTGCCGCAAGGGCTTTAAACTGATATATCACTTGACCCCTTCTGAATTTTATTTGTGGTACTTGATTTTGCGTGGAAAACAGAATAAAAACAAACTTAAACCTGTCCGAACAAAGCTCCTCACCATTTTCAGTGATCGAACAAAGTGGTGGTTTTGTTCTGTAATTGTTTTTTTTTTGTCAATTTTTTGAAAGCCTAATCGACACAGATTGCTTGATGTTGGTAAAGTTCTCGTACAGTGTTGATTATTTTAAATTAAAAAATCTGTCCCAAACTAAAGTATCGATTAGTTTTGAAGTTTTAGGATTAGTTTCGCATACTTCCACATAAATTGGCCATTTTATACCAAAAATTTTTGATTTCGCGGTTGGAAGTGTCAAAAAAATTGTCACAAGTTGGACACGTTCATTAAACATTCTCCATTTCCTGGTCTGTTTTGGAGCGGGCTTTCCTATTCTTTTAAGCTCCAATTGATTCTCCACAATTTTCTTCTGTTGCTTCAAAAGCCATAAAGCCAGCGGCAAATTGGGGAATTACGTTGACTTTTTCTATTCCAGATACTATTCCACCCCTCGCAAAAGTTGGTTGTTCGGAGTCGTGCCGGTCTGTTTTGTTTGTTTCACATTTTAGAAGAGAACGTTTGTATCCTTGTTTTGTGGACGCATCTGAGAAATTTTTGCATCTTAGGGTATTGAGCAATTTTTTCAAGTACCTTTGGCTCACCCAATAGTTCAACAGAAAGAGATGCAATTTGGTCTTCAGGTAGATATGCCATAACATTCTCACAATTTTTTTCAGGCATGGGTAGGAAACAAAAAACATCGTAAACAATCAGTTTCGGAATTTTATGAGTGGATTAAATAACGATAATTCTCGAAATAAAAACTTTCCCCTTCTGCGAACTTATTCGATGTATTTCATTTTCCATCTTATTTTAGCTGATATGAATAGTTGATATGCAAACTTTTCACATACATTTTATTTTTTATGATTATTGTGCTTTTATTCGGCGGGAGATTAAAGATTAACAGTTTAAACTAAATATATGCTGTTCAAACTACCAAAATTCAACTTTTGCGGACATTTATAGCGTAAGTTTGCCTGAAATTGTGTAATTTTTACGTAACTTTCCTCTTTTTTCCGTAATTTTTCATCATATTTCATCTTTAACGAACTTTTCTCCTAGAAGGTTATGTAATTCTTAGATAATCCTTATGTAATCTGACCATACAAATTTAATTTAATAACTCGCGTAAAAATCTAATAATTCGCGTTATCTTTATCAGGACCGTTTATTCATTTTGGTCCAAGTGCGACTGACTTCTTATTTTGGTACAAATGATCGTTGTCACAAATGGGACTTCAACGAACTTGGTGTATAGACAGAAATACTTCGACTGGTTATCAGGTCCAAGTTATCAGTTGTTCAACTGCTCATTAAGCTTAAGCATATCAAAAATTTCTATTCAAACATCAAAATTTGTCTGAAGCCCGACTTAATTTCAATATAATTTTGTTCAACATCAAATTTTTCTGAAAAATTATTGTCGAATTTTTGATTAGAGGTATAAATCTAATTTTTTCTGTTTCATCAACCAGTTTTGTTCCATGCGAACCGTAATTTATCCATCTTATTTTTTATTCTGCCAAAAGTTGCAGCTCAGTTGATAACTTGCGAGGCATTTTAAATAGCTGAAATACAGAGAAATATTTTTTGATAATTTTTATGTATGGAATTTAAATAGAGTGTTTATTATTGTTGATGATTGATGTACATAACTTATTCTCTCACTTATATTTTTTCTTTTTCACTTAAGAAAATTGAAACAACAAAATACGTTTTTGACTGCAATTGCAACGGTTTGTGTTGTTGTTATAAGAGGTCTGTCTAAAAACAAATCAATACACGGACGAGAAATAAACTTGCTGGCTCTCTTGAGTACTCGGAAAGCAACTTTAAAGTACCGTTTTTAAATTGGAGCTTACAGGCACAGAAAACTCAAAAAAAATATTATATCAAGTTAATATGGAGTTGAGTCTAAGAACAAATAATGACTCGAACCTCGATTTTAGTTTCAACATTTAGTAAAAAAAAACAAAGTTCACTAAATCAAGTTTCGGTTAAAGTTATTGGATTATTTGTGCTGGCACCGGTTTTATTGGCAGGCTGGTTTCACTCTATAAATTAAAGTTCCTTTTTTTGTGCCATCTCAAATACGGAGACCATGATTTCACCTTAAGGAATTAGTTTTTGTACCCACGTTTTTCTAAGTACAAAAATAAAAGAACAAAGGCGTACTCTGACGCAATCTGATCCGGCGTGTTTTTTTATAGAAAAATTGCAAGTAGTTGCAAAAAAAACTTGAAATTGTCCTTTGTCTTTTAAGTGTATTTTGAAAAAGACTGACAGCCTAACAGGTTGTTTTAATTAAATTTTTTCATCTTATAATTTATTACCTGTTATAATAAAATGTAAGCTTCAACTTCAAGAGTTGAGTTTTTTGATAGTTGAGAATGCCCCTTGTTCCTGGTAAGAAAAATGATCCTTTCAATTCAGTACAAACTTGAAATCAGCATAATTGGTTTATAGTGTGGTCAAAGTGACCACATAAAGTCTTGTCTGAACAATTTTCACCAGTTCCCAATTTACACAAGTGCTCTCTATTTTCAAAATTGAGCACACAATATACTCCTATCAAGGCATAAGTTTTTGGTTCGACTATATGACATCTGAATCAGTTTTTGTACTATGAATGTGAATCAAATTATCAACAAAAAATAATATTTTTTTTTTGTAAAATTATTTTTTCAGTTAGACCTCCCATACAAAAAAAACTAGAAATAGCAGAAACATCAAGTTACAGTTTTAATTTTTAGTTCATTATTTTACATGCAAAACTCAACAGTATAACCAATATCCAGGGGCTGATTTGAGGGGGGGGGGCGGACGCCCTCCCCCTTCAGGGATTCGATCCCCTGCCGACCCCCTTGGTACTTTTTAAGAAATCCATTTTTGGCAGATCGGCCCTAAAATTTTTCTAAAGGCGCCTTCGGCGACAATATATACTCATTTTGAGGGGAAGCGCGCGCCAAAAAAAAAACGCATTTTTTCGTCAAAAATTTCTAAAAAAAGCCCAAAAACGGCTTTTTTGACCTGTTTTTCAAAAAATTTTCAGAAGCCAAAACAGCGTCTTTTTACCGCCCCCCCCCCTCGAGAAAATTCTAGATCCGCTCCTAGAGTGTATCATTATGAGTGCGCCAGAAGTATCAGAAGTAACGAAAAATGAGCAAAAATAGCAATTAATTTTATTAGTTGGTTTTAAAAAAACTCGGGTCGCTGAAGAATTTTGCCGATTTATCAAATTTAATTT